AATGGGATAGGTAGCAGGGTGTCTTTGGGGGAAAAAGGAGAAAAATCTGTAACAAAAATAAAAAATTAGAAAAATAAAATAATAATTTTTTTTTAAAAGTAAAAAACAAAAAAATAAATAAATAAAGGCTGACCTTTATCAAGTACTTAAAAAAAAGAAAAAAGAAATGTAGCTTGTTGGGCGACTAAGAAATTGAATTTTGAATTTTATTTAATTTGAGTTAATTTAAATTTAAATAGCTACATTTGGTAAATGGCCACTGTAGTCAAAGCACAGTGATATTATACGGCACAGCACAGTTCTAGATTATTTTCAGTACCTGCATCTTCAAGGCTGATCCTTGGCTCAGCATCAAGAAGCTTAAAACAGCCCTGGCCGGTTTGGCTCAGCAGTTAGAGCGTCGGCCTGCGGTCCTGAGAGACCCAGGTTCGGTTCCCGCTAAGGGCACGTAACTCTGTTGCAGTTTGTCCCCGGCCCTGGTCGGTTGTGCGGGTGGCAATGTGTCCCTTTCACATCGATGTTTCTCTCTCTCTCTCTGTTCCTCTCTCTCCCCACCACTCTACCTGAACAAAAAATGGAAAAATGTCCTCGGGTGAGGATAAAAAAAAAAAAAAAAACCTTAAAAAATAAAATACAGAAAAGGAAAAGGGCAAAGGACTATTTAAAAAACAAATTTTTTTCTTTATTGATTTTTAGAGAGAGAGAGAGGGAGGGAGAGAGAGAGAGAATCATCGATGAGGCCCTGGCAGGTTTGGCTCAGTGGTTAGAGGTCCTGCAGACCAGGGAGTCCCAGTTCAATTCCAGCCAAGGGCATGTACCTCAGTTGCGGTTTGTTTCTGGCCTCGGTTGGGGTCGTGTGGGTGGCAACCAAAGGATGTGTCTCTCTCACATGCCCTCCACTTGTGATCAGGCCCACAACTTGGGCTTGTGCCCTGACTGGGAATCGAACCTACAATTTCTTGGTGCATGGGTTGATGCTCAACCACTGAGCCACACTGGCTGGGTGACAAAGAATCGTTTTTAACAAAATATAAATATTTAGCATTCTTATATAGTATGTACACACACACACACACACACACACACACACTTTGCTCAATGAATGAAAACTCTATGTATTAAAAAAATGGAGAGAAAGCCACTGTGGAAACTTTCACACTTAAGGATCATTGGGTGGGTAAAAAGAGAGTAATAGAAATACCTCCAGAGCCTTCAATCATGAGTCTCTTGACTGCTCTTTTCTTTTGGAAAGCAAGCACATTAGATCTTACCATCTTTGTATATTTTAACTCTATACATATCACTTATGAGTAGTTTTAACCCATATTATAATTAGTAATAAAAAGCAACAACGACAGGAAAGACTAATGGGAAAAAGAGAACCAAACTTTCAGTTTACAGATTGGGGGTAAAATCCCACATTTAACCATAGTGCCTAATTGGCACACAGTAGACATCATTATTATTTATTATTGATTCCTAAATAATTTACCTCAAACTTACTTCTAAGGTTCAGAACTAAGGGGCAGAAAACCAAGCCTGAGTCTGTTACAACCATACTCAAGTTAGTATCGCTAGCATAAGCAGTGCTTCTCAAAGTTTAAGGTGAGGTCACCTGGATCTGAATTAATAGGTGTGGGGTGAAGCCTGAGATTCTTTTTTTTTTTCCACTTTTTTTTTCTATCCTCACCCAAGGACATTTTTTGATATTTTGTTCAGATAGAGTGGGAGGGAGAGAGAGAGAGAAACATCGACATGAAAGGGACACATCAAGTAGCCGCCACCCGCACAACCCAACCAGGGCCGGGGACAAACTGCAACCGTGGACGTGCCCTTAGCGGGAACTGGACCATGGTCTCTTGGGACCACAGGCCGATGCTCTAACCGCTGAGCCAAACCGGCCAGGGCGAAGCCTGAGACTTAAGTCTGAAGAAGCTCCCAGGTGCTGTGAATGTTTTGGTCCAGACACTTCATGGAATAGTAAGGGCAGTGGCACCAGATGATTTGGGTTTGAATCCTGGCTGTGTAGTTCTATACCTGGAGCGAGTTACTTATCTTCCAGGCTTCTCAGTTTGCTCAGCTATAAAATGCAGATAAGTAATATCTGTATCAGTACAATTTTTGATAGAATAAAAGAGGTTAATCTACTTAGAATAGTTTTTGCCACAGAATAACACTATTATATTACTTAAGTACCTGTTCAGTTTCTCAGGGCTGGGAATTAAGGTTTTTGTAATTATGGGTTTTTGTTTTTGGCTATTTCTATTCACTTGAGAACAAATTTTGAAGCCCCAGCAAAAGATAAAAATATTTTTTCTCTCTAGTTTTTTAGAAGTTTAATTTTATCATGACTATATACTAATAAATAAAATCATTTGATAGTTTATCTAGCAGTAAATAAGCATGCTTATTCAACAGGAATTTTTTTAAAAATATGTTTTTATTGATTATTTTAGAGAGAAAGGAAGGGAGAGGGAGAGAAAGAGAGAGAAACGCCAATGAGAGTCGATTCCGTACTGCACACCTCCCACTGGGGATTAAACCTGAAACCCAGTCATGTGCCCTGACCAGGAATCAAACTGGCAACCACTTGGTCCATGGGTTGATGATGCTCAACCAACTGAGCCACACGGGGTGGGCTCAACAGGACTTTTTACCTATATATTTAATGTAGTAATCTAGTGGAAGTGAAGGCGTTAAAGGGAAATGAAAGAAAACAGTTACAAAAAAACCTTTATTTACATAACAATTATGTAATTTTAGATGAGTAAAATGAAGTTCATTCTTGAAAAATAATTCATTTTATAGATGAGAAAAGCAATAATAGATGTATGCACACTGAATAAAATTAATGTATCTTTACAGTCTGAATTAGATATGCTAATTTAAAACCTTGTCAAAAATATTAAATATTTGATCAGATTTGTTTAACCTTTGTTCTCCTTGGTAATGTTTTATGTAAATCATAAGGTTTATATTTTTCACCAAATTCTTTGGTATTACAAAGAATTTCAGGAAATATATGTATAAAAGTAAAATGGTGTCTATTTGGTTATTTATTTATTTTTAATCCTTACCAGAGGATATTTTCCCATTTACCTTCAGATAGAGTTGGGGGTGGGGGGAGGAATAGAGAGAAGGATTATCGATGTGAGAGAGACATATTGATTGGTTGCCTCACACACAACCCTGACCAGGGCCAGGAACTGAACGGCAACCAAGGTAGTGCCCTTTACTGGAATCGAACATGAGACTGTTTGGTCTGAGGGCGAACACTCTAACTACAAGCCAAAGCAGCCAGGACTATTTGGTTATTTTTGATGGTTTCAAATCTATTGCATATTTGACAGTATTGTATTTTACAACATTCATTTTTAAATAGTCTTAAATTTTAATAGGTAATATGACTGTAAAATATAATTAAAAATCATAGTTCAGTAAATATAAATATATTTTCATGTAAAGAGATACTATTTTATTTATTGTACTTTAATTGAAAGCAATCTGGAAATATAAAAGAATAGGGATATTAAACTTGCATTCAGAATTATGACAGAGCGTAGTGTCTAAAAAAATTAAATTGTTTTAGTAATTTGTTTTAGAAACACAAAGACATTAGAAATTCAGCATATTTTATGGAAAATGGTTGGTCTTTGCCATAATAATTGTGTAAATAGGAAATGGAATATTCTCATAACAGATGACTGAATTCATTTGTTTCAATTTAGAGGGGGAAATGCACAGGGATGCAGGGTTTATGTAAGTTCAGAGTTTAAGGATACAGACTTTTAATCTAAGAATTTATAGGAACTAATATCAGTGCAACACAGTGTTCTTAATTTCCTTGAGAAAAAAAACAGAGACCTCTGTACATTTACAAAAGTTCTTTGCACAAAATGTCTCTTTTAGAAAGAGAAACTACTTGAGAAAACAATTTATTTAGATAATTAAAAGTAAAATGCAGATAAAGAAGAAGAAAACTAGCCAAGAAATAAGGTATAGATGCCTATGGTGAAGGAGTTTTAAGAATTAGAAGGATAAATGACAATGGATAGAATTAGGTTCAACAGCAAGTATTTCCTATTATAAAATATCAGATATAACCATGTCAAAAAATTTAGTTGGAAAAAAGAAGGTAGGTCTAACCATTAATTTAAAATATTACTAAATTATCTTCCTGTATTTTTTTCAGTATTTTAAATATATATATATACACCCCAACCTCACAGGTTTAAATTTAATTCATATGCCTCAGAGAACATGAGTACTATATAGAGTCAAGGAGCAGGAAAATTATCTCCAGCAGTTTGATGAACCTAAGCAGGAAAATGAATTGCAGGATTTAAGTTTGGATTTATTGAAAAAAAAGTAGAGTAAACTGTCCTCAAAAACTAGGTTTTTAAAAATCTCTTGAAGCAAACATTTCTACTTCAAATTATACATATTTTAAAATTAGCATTTGTTTGTAAGCACATATGTTAATATATTATAGGGGAAAATTTAGCATAAAATTCTGAGAGCAATTGTTCTTATTATAGTATTAAAACATCTTATAGAGGAATATTTAGTATAGTAAGTCGACTAGTTCCTTACCATTGTGTTTCTGGACATTGAAGATATCGATATATGTATCTTTCACATTCAATCAAAGCATCTCTTTATTCTTTATCTGTTTTTGTTGTTGTTGTTAATCCTCACCCAAGGATATTTTTCCATTGATTTTTAGATAGAGTGGAAGGGAGGGAGGGAGGGGGAAAGAAAGAGAAACATTGATGTCCATTGGCTGCCTCCCACACAACTCTGACTAGGGCCAGTGATTGAACCTGAAACCCAGGTACATGCCCTTGATGGGGAATAGAATCTGTGACCCTTTGGTCCGCAGGCTGACATTCTAATTGCTGAGCCAAACCGGCCAAGGCTCTTTACCTATTTTTAATTATAATAATAAGTGAAATATATAGCCACATGACAAAAATGTATAATTTTTTTTTTTATCTCTTCAGGAAACTAGATCTATTTTTACAGATCATTTTTAAAATTTTAGTAGTTTGACAAAAGACGTTCATGGCTTTGGTTTTAAGACTTGCCACATGTCTTGAGTTTGCTGTTTGGCTAGAGTATCTTCAGAGTAGTCAAGACAGTCTGCATTCCACATGCCAGTGCCCCGTAAGCCATGCATTTGTATATATGCTGCCTTTAAAGAAATGCTCTTCGGGTCATCATACCACACTTGATGAAAATGGCCAGTAGAATCCTATACAAATAAATGAAAATGGAAATTTTAAGTATTCAGTACAATAAGAGGAAAAACATTTATTAATTTCAAGGGTTCAAAAATGATGCAATGAAATAGCAAAAATTTAAGGGCACAACACTTTCCAGCTCTATGATTCCATGGCTCTGTATATGATACTTTGTAAATGTCATTGCTTGTGGCATTTTTACAACAGGAGAAATTACACAAATATACCTCCTAATAGCTTCCATTTAAGGTTCTTCTCATGCCCTAAGATTCCTTCTTTGCTCTGATCTGATGATTATCAACCAAGAACTATATCAGAGTCACTTGTGGAGCTTTTACTCTTTTGTTTTTTCTTCTTCTTGTTGTTTTTTTTGTTTGTTTTTTGTTTTTTTAATCCTCATCCGAGGACATTTTTCCATTTTTTGTACAGAGTGGGAAGGAGAGAGAGGAGGAAGAGAGAGAGATGGAAACATCGATGTGAAAGGGACACATCGAGTGGCTGCCACCCGCACGACCAACCAGGGCCGGGGACAAACTGCAACCGAGGTACATGCCCTTAGCAGAAACCGAACCCGGGTCTCTCTTGACCGCAGGTGGACGCTCTAACCACTGAGCCAAACCGGCCAGGGCTCTTCTTCTTGTTTTTAAATCCTCACCCGAAGGAAGACAAAGAATCAAATTAAAAAATGGGCAGAGGACCTAAATAGTCACCTCTCCAAACAGGACAAATAAATGGCCAAGAGACATATGAAAAAATACTCAATGTCACTAATCATCAGAGAAATATAAATTAAAACAACAATGAGGTATCACCTCACACCTGCCAGAATGGCTGCCATCAACAAATCATCAAACAACAAGTGTTGGCGAGGGTGTGGAGAAAAGGGGACTCTAGTACACTGCTGGTGGGAATGCAGACTGGTGTAGCCACCATGGAAAACAATATGGTGTTACCTCAAACAATTAAAAATTGAACAGCCATTTGACCCAGTGATCCCACTTCTAGGAATATATCCTAAGAAGCCTGAAACACCCATCAGAAAGAATATATGTACTACCTATGTTCATAGCAGCGCTATTTACAATTGTCAAGATCTGGAAACAACCCGTGTCCATTAATAGATAAATGGATTAAAAAAACCCACTGTGGTACATATATACAATGGAATACTATGCAGCTGTAAAAAAAGAGAGATCTTGTATCCTATGAGATGACATGGAGGGACCTAGAGAGTATTATGCTAAGTGAAATGAGCCAATCAGAGAAAGACAAATACTACATGATCTCACTTATTTGTGGAATATAATGAACAACATAAGCTGATGAACAAGACAGACCCAGAGACACAGAAAGAAGTAGGGTCAGAACTAAACTACAGAACAAACATCCTTAAGAACCGCCTGAAATCAAGCTGAATGGAAGTCCTACAACTACGGAATTAATGAAGCAGCCACATAGAGACTGGGATTCCAAAATGGCGGCAGCATGAATGGAAGCTACACAGACAGTCTCCCAAAACCAAACTGGAATTACAACTAAAACACAGACAAATCGACGGGAAAAAGCAACAGAAAAATAGCTTGCAAGGACCTTAGAACCAGGGACACTGACTTGATCCTAATAGGATTGCGAAGGTGCGAGATGAGGGCTGGGAGTCCACTGTCAGCAGCTCAGCAGTGGCCTTAACTGTGAGCATTGCCCTCAGGTTACACTCCCAAGTGGCTCCACAGCACAGAGCCAGTACAGAGGCTAAAATAGCCATAGCCACTCACCTTGGGTTCTGGCAGAGGGAGGGCAGACTGGACTGGAACTGTGTGGGGACACCCGGGATTTGGAGGGTGTTCAGAGCTTTTATTGAGTTGCAACCACGCAGGACGATGGCCATATTTCTCCTTCACAGGGTTATGTGGAGAGGTGGCGGCCCCTCCCTCGGAGATTCAACCCTACTCTGTGGGCCATTGAAATGCAAATTGAGGCTCACAAACAACCAGCATCTGCCCCACCCTCGTGAAATCCACTTAGGCTGAGCACCTGAGGGAGTTTTTCAATCAACTAAGAACCCAAAACTTTTCAAGTAACCTGGACTGCTAGCCTCCAGGCAAAAAGCTAGAGGATAACAGTACGATTCCTGGGGGAGCAACTCTAACGAAGACAGTAAGACTTGACAGCGGTGTTTAACATGGGTCCTCCTTCGCTCATCTAAACCCAGGAGAGGGAGCCACAAACAGCAGAACACCGATACTCACAGAGAAAACTTGGCAGGCTCCAAAGCCTACTGTGATAGCCAAAATGGTGAAACACAGAAACAAAAGCCAAATGAAAGAAAAAGAGACCTCCACCAAAGATGATATCAATGTGGAGCAGTAAGGCATGTTAACAGGGCTAGAATTCAGAGCCATGGTCTTGAGGAAGCTAAACAGCATGAGTAAGGATATAAAGATGCTAAGAAATAAATCAATTGGAAATTAAAAACCACCAAGAAGAGATCAAGAGTGACATATCAGAAATAAAGAACACATTGGAAGGTCTAAAGAGCAGAGTAGAGGAAGCTGAGGACCAGATCAATGAATTAGAAGACAGGGTAGAAAAAAATCAACCAATCAGAAAACCAAAAGGAAAAAAACAATTAAAAATCAGGAAGACAGTTAAGAGAACTGTGGGACAACTGGAAACATAATAATATTCCCATCATAGGAGTCCACGAAGAAGAAGAAAATGAGCAAGGGTTAGAGAATATATTAGAAGAAATAGTGACAGAAAACTTCCCTAATTTGGTGAAGGAAGAAGGCATTCAAGTTCAAGAAGCACAGAGAGCCCCAAGTAAAAAGAACCCAAACAGGCCCACACCAAGACACATAGTGATCAAAATGTCAGAAATTAAAGACAAAGAGAGAATCCTAAAAGCAGCAAGAGATAAGCAATGGGTTAGCTACAAAGGAAACCCCATAAGGCTCCCAGCTGACTTCTCACAAGAAACACTACAGGCCAGAAGGGAATGGCATGAAGTAATCAAGGTCATGAAAAACAAGGATCTGAATCCAAGACTACTCTACTCAGCAAGGCTGTCATTCAAAATAGAAGGTCAAATAAATAGCTACCCAGACACACACAAAAAAAGACTAAGGGAATACATTAGCAACAAAACAGCACTACAAGAAATGTTAAAAGGACGGCTGTAATTAGTAGAAGAAATAGGAAGAAAAATATAACCAAACTAAACAAAAATGGCAATAAATAAGTACATATCAGTAATCACCTTAAATGTATATGGACTGAATGCTCCAATAAAAAGACACAGAGTAGCTGATTGGATAAGAAAGCATGACTCATCTATATGTTGTTTACAAGAGACCCACCTCACAACAAAAGACTCACATAGGTTGAACGTGAAGGCATGGAAAAAAATTTTCCAAGCAAACGGAAAGCATAAAAAAGCTGGGATAGCAATACTCATATCTGATAAAATAGATTTCAAAATGAAGGCCATAACTAGAGACAAAGAAGGCCACTACATAATATTGAAAGGATCTATGCAACAGGAAGATATAACCTTCATAAACATATATGCACCCAATATAGGAGCACCAAAATATATTAAAACTCTTCTGGAGGACTTCAAAGGAAAAATCAATAGCAATACAATCATAGCAGGGGACTTCAACACCCCATTGACACCACTGGATAGATCCTCTAGACAAAAAATTAGCAAGGAAACAGACTCTAAATGAAGCACTAGACCAAATGGATTTAATAGATATCTACAGAGAATTAAACCCCAAAACTACACAATTCACATTCTTCTCAAGTGCACATGGGACATTCTCATAGACTACATGATAGGACACAAACTAAATCTCTACAAGTTCAAGAAGACTGAAATCATATCAAGCATCTTCTCAGATCACAATGGCATGAAACTAGAAATCAGTTGCAACAAGAACATGCAAAGATATTTGAACACATGGAAGCTAAATAGCATGTTATTAAACAATGAATGGGTTACCGAGGAGATCAAGGAAGAAATTAAAAACTTCCTGGAGAGCAATGAAAATGAACGCACAACAACACAAAATCTATGGGATGCAGCAAAAGCAGTTCTGAGAAGGAAGTTCATAGCACCCGAGGCCTACCTCAAGAAACAACAAAAATTTCTAATTGACTGTCTAACCTCACAGCTTAAAGAATTAGAAAGCAAACAAAAGAAAACCCCAGAGCAATAGAAGGAAGGAAATAGTAAAGATAAGAGCAGAAATAAATGACATAGCGTCCCAAAAAACAATTCAAAGGATCAATGAAACAAAGAGCTGGTTTTTTCAAAAAGATAAACAAGATTGATGAACCATTAGCTAGATTAATCAAAAAACAAAGAGAGAGAACCCAAATGCACAAAATCAGAAATGAAAGAGGAGAAGTAACAACTGACACCACAGAAATACAAAAGATCGTTAACAGCTACTATGAACAATTATATGGCAACAAATTCGACAATCTAAGCGAAATGGACAAATTTCTAGAAACACACAGTCTCCCAAAACTGGACCGGGAAGAGATAGAAAACGTGAATAGACCAATAACAACTAAGGAAATTGAAGAGGTAATCAAGAATCTCCCAGCAAACAAAACCCAGGCCCGGATGGCTTCACAGGGGAGTTTTACCAAACATTCAAAAAAAGAACTAACACCCACTCTCCTCAAACTATTTCAAAAAATTCAAGAAGAAGGAAGACTTCCAAACTTGTTTTATGAGGCCAGCATAATTTTAATTCCAAAACCAGAAAGACATTACAAAGAAAGAAAACTACAGGCCAATATTCTTGATGAACATAGACTCCAAAATCCTGAACAAAATACTAGAGCATCAGATCCAGCAATACATTAAAAACATTATTCACCATGACCAAGTGGGATTTATCTCAGGGATGCAAGGCTGGTACAATATTTGCAAATCAATAAATGTGATACACCACATAAATAAAATGAAGAATAAAAACCACATGATCATATCAATAGA